TACTTACATTTTGTAAATAATAATATGAGATTTGGTTACTATCACAAAATAAGTATTCTTTTAATAATTTCAACAAAATAATCCACTATGGTAGAACAAGGAGCGTTTCGCGGAGCTATCAGAGATGGCGTGTCTTTTCATAAGAGAAATTCAACGTCTACCTGTATAAAGCCGAAACGATTAGAAACTAATTTAGTGGACGTCTCGGTTGTTGCACACTATAATCAATCAAATGGTAACTATTTTTTTCGAGCAATTAGTAATCTCAATTGCTCTAAAGCTGTGATCAGACTATGTATTGAAAATTGAGATTGAGATTAAGATTAAAATTGACGTTCGATCAATGAGAACAGGCCGAAATTGAGATTGCAGATTGAAATATAGGGCTTCGTCTATTTTTCCAATCTTCAATCTCAATTTCAACCAATAAGCTTCCATTATTTTCAGTCACATGACTAATCTCACATGATTAACTTTATATATTTGTATATGTACAAATACGTTAAAAGAGTTATAAAAAGTACATTAATAATTCAATTAATTAATGAAAATATGTGAAAAATGCCTCCGAAAATAGAAATGTGGATTAAAGAGAAAGAATATGCTTTGATGAATATGCCACGAAGCGTCCAATATTATGGGTATTGTTTGACTAAATCTTAACTGCTGTTAGATACAATTTATAATGTGATTGAGCAATCTTCAATCTTAATCTTAGTCTCAATCTCAATCTCAATCTCTAATACATAGTCTGATCTCTAATACATAGTCACGACTTATAGAAATATTAATATATATTTCTGATAAGCTAAGAAAATTCAAAAACACTAAATATTAATAATTTCACTCTGTAGAAAGTGAGAGATATATATTATTCGTTTTGTTCTGGTAACAAAATGTTCTATTTCTAACTACAAAAAATCTATAAACATCATACAAAACAGTTTTGTACCATTAAATTATTAGTTCATTTAGTAAATTCAACAAATTAATATTGTCGTGGTAAACAACAGTTTGATTGATCATATATCAACAAATAATTTTTGTGTCAGTAACTTTGGTTATTGATACAAAACATTTCTCTCAGCATAACATTATTTTCAGTGGAAATAATCTTGTTATATAATGGAATACAAATACAATTTTATTAAAACATAAACATATATTTGCTTTATTAATAGTGTTATTGAATTAACAAAATTATTTTCAATTAAAATAATGCTGATTTGACATCTTTTTTTTCAGTATAGGATAATAGGATAATACGAAGAGCGAATCGCGTCATAACCTGTCGGCTCGAATTTCATTGCGCAAATGATAGTGACGATCTTATGTGTAAATACAGCGCAATATCGCGCGCAAACAAAATTATCATTATCTTGAAACATTTAACATTATATAAAATAAAATCACGTATCAAATCAAATATCTATTCTTCGCATTCCAATAAATAAGCTAATATCTCACATTTCGTATTTTGTTTCACGAGCTGATTAAAATCGTCTACCTTTATAGAAATTTTTACCAAACGGTAATAATTAATTACTTGTTAAACACTACACGCTTTTAATATTAAAATTAATAGTATCAACAAGATCAGAATAAGTAATTAATCACTATCTTTCAGTATTATATTGAATTTTTGTATGTGAATGTAAAGATAAATAATGATTAATTTCAACTGAGAGGGCGCTT